CCGAGAGGGTCAGCCTCACGCCACTGAGCCCGTCTTTCCCCCAAAGGGCCTAGGGATCATTCTGGAAATGAGAATAGGGTCCGGCAGGTGGCTTGCTGAGAAGGTTGGCGCTCTGCCCAGGTAGGTGCAAAGCAGTTAACCCCAAGGTGAGACCAAGGTGCCCACCACTGACTCCCCACTGCCACAGGCAGTCCACCTTGCTTAAGCTCCCAAGGTTGTACACTGCGGAGTCTGGATTCAGACGCCAAAAGGAAAGGGTTCTTGGGATGTCAGGATACTGGGTTCTAGAAGGGCCCCCTGGGATGACTAGCCCTGCAGCCACTGCCCTTTGAGGAAGTGAGACCCAGCCTACATGGTGGGAAGGGCCCAAGGAGGGAGGGGTGCCATCTAGTCAGGGCCCCCTGCCCAGCCTGGTTTCCCTTCCTGTTGCTGGGAGATGACAGGAAGCCTCAGGGAGTGTCTGCATTTGCACTGGGTACGCTCTAGCTCCCTGCTGATTCTCATGCTCTTCACCGCATCTGGACTCTTGGCCCCCGCCCCTAACTTCTGCCCTGTTCCAATGCTTGTTCTCCTCACCTGCTCTCTCAGGCCACCTTATCTAGCCTCACAGACTGATGGGAAGGAGGGCACGGGCCTGGGCCCCAGGGCCCTCATCCTGGGGCCGCCCATCCTTACCTTCCTCAGAGGACAGAGCCCCTCACACCCAACTCCTTCCCCAAACGTGGGTAGGTCAAGGAAGGGGCCAGGGGGCTCAAGAGCATTGGAGAACCCAGATTAAGAGGGGGGGGGCAGTGCTCCTTGGGAGAGAGGGGCAGTGCTGGGATTTGGGGGGGCCCCCAATGACTTCAACTCAATAGGGGAACGGAGCCAAAGCAACAGAGAAAATGGCTCCAGCTACACCTCGGTTGGCGGGGTGTGTGTGTGTGTGTGAAAGAGGAACCTCAAGATCTGCGTCAGGTGTCCTGGGGGTGCCCACACTCAGAAGCCGGCCCTCCCCACCCAGAGGCTGGGAGGATTTGCCCGGGCAGTATCCTCAATGTGAATTGTCCTCCCAGCCCAGCTACACATCCACACACACTGGGGGTCCATCTCCACCCCTCCCGAACTAATCCAGTCTCCCTCCAACCCCACATCACCTTAAAACCAAGCCCCCTGTCAGGTCCCTCTGTCTTCATCTAAGCCCCCCACTCCCCACACCCTTTTCAGGGGTGAGGGCTAAGTGCTCAAGCCAGCCCCTTCCCCTTACAGTTCCTGGCCAGGGCTGAGGCACCAGGAGAGGGGAGGAAGGGGGCTGCCCCACCCAGGAGATGCCCTAGGCTCTTGGCAGAGCCAGCTGGAACTGTTAGAAGCAGTCATTGGCAAATGACTCATCACCCACTGCTCCCCCACCCCCTACCCTGCTGGGAACCAACACCCAGCCCCCAACAGCCCTGTCTTCTCATCTTCTGACCCCCCACACTGCCTGCTGTCAGGCCCCCCCATACTCACACCCCTCTCTTTAGAAACCTGGCCCGCCCCCAGCCCCAATTCCCAATCACCCCCAGAGCTAGTACACGTCCCATTTCCTTTTATTTATACAAAAACATTTTTAAATATAATTTAAGAACCTCTCCAAGCACCCAGGCCTGGCTGTTTGCCGCCAGCACCCCACTGCCCTCATTGTGATGTCCTCCAGTCCCCTTCCCCAAGGACACTGCTTGAGGGAAATTGGGGGGGGCGGGGGCAGGGGAATGTCAGGATTATGGTCAGAACAGGAGGGGACGGTGACACAGGTCCCCTCAAGGGCCAAAGTCAGGACGAGGGTGGTTGAAAAACCAAACAAGGCAAGAGAAGACCAAAATCAGAGAGTTCAAACTCAAAACCTTCAATATGAAGGCAGCAGATGGGGGCGGGGCATGTACAAGGGGGGAGGGGCGTGCAGCCAGTTCGGTGGTGACAGCACAAGGTGGAGACACCAAAGTCCAATGATTCTGTCACTGGGCCACCACTCCACTCCCGGGCTCACAGGCTAGTCACCCTCCTCTTTGGTCTGAGGACAAGGCCCAGGGAGGTGAGGGGGCACTTGGACGGAAGCCCTAACTGGGCCCGGGCTGTGCTGTGTGGTTCCCACCCAGGCACCGCAGTGGCAGCTGAGGGGCAGGCCTTTCTCAGCGAAGGGCTCCCTCCTCCACAGTCTGGGGTCCCCCACGTTGGGGGCATTTCCACACACCCCCCACACACAGGGAGGAGTCCCCAGATCCATCCACTCTCTCCAAATTGCCAACTCCCAACCCCCTGGGTTCAAAGTGCAATCCAGTGGGGAGCAGGGAAGGGGCCTCTATGAGAGTCCGCACCCAACTCTGCCCCAGGAAGAAGGGGAGGCTTGGTCCAGGGCTCCAGGGCTGTGGGGCCCAGAGGCGCCGGTCAGTACTGAGGGGCTGGGCCTCCCGGTCCGCCTGGAGCTCCAGGCTTGGCCTGGGATTTCATGTGCTGGACGCTGGTCAGGATTTTCTTCTGGTGGCCTGCCAAGGTGACTCCAATGCGCAGCAGATCCCTGGGGGAGGAAGGGGAGGGTGGGGTGAGACCACACAGGGTGGCCTAATAGCAACACTCCTAAACCCTTGGAAGCACTGCCAGCCAATCAGAAGGGCCAACGTCAACAGTTGCCGGGCAGTTTCCGGAATAGTTAGGTGACCCTCCTGTGCAGCTACAGTAGTGGGTGAGGCTGGGTCTCTCTCCAGCTGGAGACATGGGGAACGGGGCTCCTTGAGGTGGGCAGTGGGGGCTGCGGCAGGATCTTCCAGCAGGGGTTAAGAAAGGGTGAAAATGGTGAGGGTCTGAGAGGCCCACAAAATGAGTTTAGAAGAAGGGGCTGTTATGGAGGATGGGAGACAGACGGGCAAAACCCACCCCCCACCCATCCCCACGCCCCCTCCCATCCTGCACTTGGAGACTGAAGTCAGGACAAATAGCAGGAGGCAGCAGCGGAATGGGAGAAAAAAGGCACGTCAGGTGGTGGCAGTGGGCGGGCGTTAGGCACCATGAGTGGATTCCCGCCCACTGCCACCTTGCGCACAACGGAATGAAACCCTGCCGTCCTCCTGTTGTTTAGCCCACTTCAATCATCGAGGGCCTCCGCTTTTGCAGAGGTGAGAGACACGTTAGGGGAGCCCTGGTGGCGTAGTGGTTACGAAGTTAGGCTGCTAACTGCAAGGTCAGCAGTTCGAAAACACCCGCCCGCTCTGTGGGAGAAAGGGGAGGCTTTCTTACTCCCATACGGCGTTATAGTCTTGGACACCCACAGGGGCAGGGCGACCCTGTCCCTACAGGATCCACTATGGACTGAAGGCAGTGGGTTTGGTTTTCTGGATACACCTTAGGGAGATGGGTGGCCCGCCCCGGGGCAAGGGACCCACTCAGCCCCAGAGCCTCTGGGGACTTTCCTGGTTTAAATTCCTAGTCCTCCTATTTCTGTCCTCCTAGCCTGAGGCCAGGGGAGTGCTGAGGAGAGAGATAGGAGAACAGAAAGAAGAGAGAAGTGGGGGGCGGGCATTCAGAGCACGAAGCTCCGTGTGCAGCTTGTGAAGCATCAAACCACGTAACCGGAGCTGGAGAGCATCTTGTGAACCCGTCCACTCCTCTCCTTTTAAGGGTGGGAAAGCTGCCCCGGCATTGACGCCGTGTTAACGTGGGCACAGAGGCCTGGAATGCAGTCAGATGCGCACAGACAGAGAGACAGACTGGAGGGAGGCCTGGGCGGCAGCAGCGGAGGTGCAAGGAGGAGAGGTGGGCCAGGCTGCTGGAGAGCTTGGATTCTCAGCCTGGTGATGCCTGGGGTCGAGCAACCCCTCCCTGCAGTGCCCCACGGAGCAAAGTCCCAGCAGTCCAGAGGCCCCATACTCCCTGTTCTCAGATGTCCCCGCTGGCCGCTTGGCGCTCACCACCGGCTCCTCCCCAGCCCATCCTCCAAGCCCCTGCCACGACCTACTCGGTGGAGATCTGGCTGACCAGCTCGAAGGAGCCAAACCCGGCAGCTGCGAAGCTTTCTTCGTATCTTCCCATCTTAATGGCCCGCAGCCACTCGCCCACAGAGCCGAAGGCCGAGTAGTGAGGCTGTCGCTGGTCCAGGAGCGGGTGCGAGGCCCTGGGAAGGACGAGGGGCAGGGAGGCGCTGAGTGCCAGACCCGGTCATACCCGTCGTGGCCAACCTTGGAGATGGGCAGAGACCATCCCACATACCACCAAAGGGGAGCTCTCAGGTGGTGGGCCCTCTCTCTGGGGTCCTCACCCGCCGTTCTCCCTGGCCACGATTTTGAGGCTGGCAGGGTTCCGGATCATCTTGTCGAGGGCGCTGACCACCTGCGGGAAGCGGGGCCGGCTATTCCGGTCCTTCTGCCAACAGTCCAGCATGAGCTGGTGCAGGGCGGTGGGGCAGTCGGGGGGTGGGGGCAGCCGGTAATCCTGCTCAATGGCGTTGATCACCTAGGGTGGCGGGAAGGAGGAGGTCAGGGGCATCCTGGGGAGAACCAGGATGCCAGGAGGCCCTAGAGACACCAGTGCTGGGGCCCTCCCCGAGTGACAGACCTATAAACCCCCGGGACACACGTGACTGGATACCCTGGTCACATACACCCTCCCAGCGCTGCCCAAACAGGCTTCATCAAGCCCTTGATACAAGGGTTCTTCCTGCTGCTCCCACTGTCTGAGGCCCCAGCAGCAATGGGCTCTCTGGGCCCTCCACTGACCACCCCCCCACCCCCACCCCCGTTCTGGATGAGGGTGCATGACAGGAAGGTTTGGGGTGACCACGGGACACTCACGTCCTGATTACTCATATCCCAATAAGGCCGCTCCCCAAACGACATGACCTCCCACATCACGATCCCATAGCTCCAGGCGTCACTGGCCGATGTGAACTTCCGGAAGGCAATGGCCTCCGGGGCTGTCCATCGGATGGGGATCTTGCCTCCCTACAGAAGGGGGAGGAAAAGATGAACAGAGGGGCCTCGCGGCGGCCCAGGCACCCTGTTTCCCCCTAGCTCGAACCTCGATTCCTTCCAAGACCTGAGCACCCAGCCCCCCAACTTTGCTCTCTTCCGAGTCCGAGCCCCCGCCCCTCCACCCCCCACAGGAGTCCTGCTTTCCCCGCTCCCAGAATTCCTAAGATGTCTCAGGGCCACAGCATGGTCGGTCCGGTATCTGCTTCCTGGACCAGATTCGTCCAGCCCCTGCCCCTGCCCCCGGCCTCCCATCTTCCCACCGGGCCTTAAGCACTTAGCTGGTACCCACGCCCATCTCCAAGCCCTACCAGAGAGCTGGTGTAGGTGGGATCGGAAGAGTTCTCCTCCAGGAACCGGGACAGGCCAAAGTCCGAGACCTTGCAGACCAGGTTGCTGTTGACCAGGATGTTGCGGGCGGCCAGGTCTCGGTGGACGTAGCTCATCTCCGCCAAGTACCGCATGCCCGAGGCGATGCCCCGCAGCATGCCCACCAGCTGGAGGACGGTGAACTGCCCGTCGTTCAGCTGCAGGATGGACCAGGACAGAGGGCTCGGTGAGGAGGGCCTGGCTACCTATCCCCCCCTCTGCTTTCCGATTTTTCCGCCCTGTCCCTGCTTCCGGGCCCTACTCCTCCTGTCTGTGGAGAAGTCCTGCCCACCTCCCCAGGTAAGCCAGACTCTCTTCCCTCCCTAATGTATACATTGTTTGTAACCGTTCCTATGTCTAACTTAAAAAACAAAAACAAAACCTCATTCCCATCCAGGCGATTCTGACTCACAGTGACCCTAACAGGACAGGTTAGAGCTGTCCCTGTGGGTTTCTGAGTTGGTAACCCTTTACAGGCATAGAAAGCCTCCTCTTCCTCCCGAGGGACGGCTGGTGGGTTCAAACTGCTGGCCTTGTGGTTTTCAGCCCAACACGTAACCAGGGCTATGCCACCAGGGCACCAGCATTTCAAATATAGGTACTGACTTCCGTCCTAAGGAGATGGTTTCTCAGTGTCTCTCTCAATCTGCAGGAAGAGTGCTCTACAAAAGTACTCAACCAAGGCTTTGGTCTAGGAAGCACCTTTGACGGTGACACAGGGTTCTGTCATTGGCTATCGCCTCTGCTCCTCTGTGTCACCTGTCTACAGGTGGAAACAGATTTGTGCAGTTGAAGTGGCCCCCTCGAGTAGCCTCTGGGTCAGCCGGGTGGGCTTTGCAAGAGAACAGTAAAGACCTGGGGTATGATCCGTGACCACAGAGCCCAAACCAAGGACTCAAAGCACCTTGACTTTTACAGGGTTTACTCTTAACAGCTAAACCCATCGGTCCCTGATGGCTAACTCATCCCATCTTAGGGGTTCAGCTAGGACGCAGAGGACCCTCTGAAACCGCCTGGGGTTGGCAACACAGAATCCAAATTCCAAATTCTTAATCCTGCCTCCATCCCAGTTGCATCTCAACAAACAACCCACAGCCATCAAGTCGGTTCCGACTCACAGCAGCCCACAGAACGGGCTAGAATTGGCCGGGTTTCTGAAGACAGGAGTAGAAAGCCTCTTCTTTCTCCCGCAGAGCAGCTGGTGGCTTTGAACTGCTAACCTTGTGGTTAGCAGCCCAACGTGTAAGCATTGCAACTCAGTTCTTGGAAATGCTACTCACCCAGCTGCTCAGGCCTAAACCCGGGTGTCCTGTGATTCCCCCGCTCTAGCCCCCATTACCCAGAATCCACCAGCTAGTTCTAGTTCTGCTTTCACAACCGATCCCCTATCCAACCCCTTCTCTCCACCTTAGTGCAACTCCAGTCTGGAGCCTACAGTCATGTCCTCGCCAGCTTCCCAGCTCTTGGCCCATCACACAGACAAAGGGGTCGTGTGACACCCCCTCACTCTGGCTTAAATCCCACTGACGGCTTCCCCTCTCACATTGATTAAGATCCAAATTCCAGCAGCCACCAGCAGCAGCCTCCTGACCTAGTAGCCTCCCTCTGCAGCGCCCCTGATCTTCCTGCCTCCTCTACCCCCTGGCCCCTAGGTACCCTCCCGACCTCAAGGCTGGCCTTCGACACAGATGCCATCTCTCCTGAAACAGGCCTTCGTAGGTCCAACAGCAGCCCCTCTGTGACAAGGGAGCAACACGCAGGAGAGGGCAGGCTGTCCTCACCCTACTCTAGAGGGCCCCGAACTGCTCCCGGGGAGGCGCAGGGCCCACTCTCTGACAGGACCTAGGATGCAGTCCAGTTGCTGTGCCAACCGTGAACTTAGGAAAACGTGGACTAGAAACTTCCACTTCAGGAAAGACAGAGAAGCCAGCTGAACGGCCCCACGCGGAAGAATCCAATAACCCAGAGGTGGCGTCTCAGGAGACAGCTGACCTGGCTCCTCAGCAGATCAACAATGAACCACTCTGCGCTTCAAGAGACAATCCGGCGGTGGAGAACACTTTCAAGACCACAGAGATAGCTTCCTCTTCAAGAGGTACCATGGCGACGAAAGAAACCACTTTAATTCTGTTACATGCACGATCACTTTGCTCTGTGGGGACATGGCTTGATCGTTTCAGAAAGGTGTGCAGAGAAAGCAAGCTCACTAGCCTGGAGTCGAAACTCCAGGGCGAAACTGTCCCCACAGGTTTCCAAGACTAGAGCTCTTTCCGGGAGCAGAAAAGCTGATCTTTCTCCCAAGGAGCAGCTGGTGGGCTCAAACTGCTGACCTTGCCGTTAGCAGCCCAATGCATAATCACAACGCCACGTTCAATAAATCCAACCCCACTGCCATGAGTCAGTTCAGACTCCTAAAGACCGTACAGGACAGGACAGACAGGGCCCTGGGGTCATCTAAGGCTGCAAATATTGACAGGAGCAGAAAGCCTCATCTTTCTCCCAAGAAGCGGCTGATGGGTTTGAACTGCTGGCTTTGCAGTTAGCAGCCCAACGTGTAACCCATTATGCCAACTGGGCTCACCATGGTGAGGAAAACCTGCTCAATCAAGTGACCAAAACAAAGCACACTCTTCCCACCTCATCCCCAGCCACCTTGCCGTTTACGTCAGTATTTTTTTAAATGGCTGATTTTTTAAGAAAGCCTACGCGCTTACTTCTAAATTCAGTCTGCCTTTCCACGGTCAGCTCCCCAAGAGCTGACACTTTGTCGGCCTCGTTCACGGCCCCGTCCCTGGACTTGAGTCGTGGTGGTGGTGCTTAGGTGCCATTCACAGCGACCCGACGCACGGCACAACAAAGCAGACCTTGGAGCCCATCGCTGCGCCACCGTGACGCAATGGCTCCCAGGCCGAGAGCATTATTTAAATCCACGCATGGGAGGCGCTCAGTAGATATTTGCCCAAAGAACAAACAGCAATCCTCTGTACCCCAGGGGCATCTGTCCCCCAGAGAAGCCAGTCCCAAGCCTCAAAGAAGGAAAGGCCAGCCACAGGAGGGAGGGCCAAGAAGCCCTGGTGATGGCCCAAAGATGAGTGGTTCGAAGCCACCGACCAGTACCAAAGAAGAAAGACGGATTGGTTTGGTTCAGTCAGGACAGGGCTCAAGAGGACCCAGTGAAGGCAGGTCTACTTTTGACACGCCACCCAAGAGGTAACCCTGAGGTGGCTCAGTGGCAGCCGGGGACAGCAGAACTCGGCTGCAGGAGAGAGGCTGGAGAGAAAGTAGGTGGGCCGTCTGTCCTGAGCTCTCGGGGAGGGCGCAGGGGGTGGGCACGAGGCTCTCACGCCGGGCGCTCACCCGCAGGAAGGAGTCCAAGGCGCCGTTCTCCATGAATTCCGTGAGGATCATGACGGGCACGCTGTTGGTGACCACGCCCTCCAAGCGGATGATGTTGGGGTGCTCAAACTGGCCCATGATGGACGCCTCGCTCAGAAACTCCCGCCGCTGCCGCTCCGTGTAGCCCCCCTTCAGGGTCTTGATGGCCACGCAGCTCTCCTTCTTGCCTGGGGCCTTGAGCCGCCCCCGGCACACCTCGCCAAACTCACCTGGGGGAGACGCAGGGGCACCCCAAATCAGCTTCCTGCTCCGCGCCAGCTTCCCGGTCCCACGTGCCCGCCCAGCGGCCTTCCGCGTACCTGCGCCAATGACCTCCTCGATCTTCACATAGGAGACGTCAATTTCCTTTGCAAACTCCCTCACGGCCTCATTGGGATCTTCATAAGTGAAGGGGTCGATATAGACCTTCGTACCTGCAGAAGTGGGCGGAGTGCCTCCTTCGTCAGGGGCTCTTCCCACTGGGCCCTCGGCCACGCCTGGCTCCGGGCGCCTCCTCTCAGCCCTTAGCCCCTCGGGGCCAGGTCTACCCACCGTGCCCGATGAGATACTGTCCGTGTTTGTCGGAGTACTCTGCTTCTCGCCCGCTGCTCTGCTTCCTGCGGAGGAGGAAGCAAAAGGTAAAACAAGAGTCAGAGGGCTGGGGCAGGGAGGGAGGAGCGGGGTCGGCGAGGCCTCCCAGTGCCCAGCACGCTCACCTGAGGCAGATGACGGCTATGATGACCACCAGCAGGACCAGCACCACGCCCACGACGGCCGTGCCTGCAATGAGGGCCAGCTGCTCCCGCCAACTCTCATTCTCTGTGAAGAAACTGCCGGAAGTCAGGGAGGCCCCGGCTGCAGCCTCTGGGGAGGGAGCGGGGCCCCTGGGTGGAGAGAGGACGACAGGCCAGGCAAGGCCAGGGGTCCACAGTGATTCTCACACGGCACCTAACAGGCCCACGGGCAGGAGGGGACATTGCCCAACCTCGTCCCCACCAGGAGCCATGGGGATGCTGTTGGGTAAGTGCTGGACTGCTAACCGCCAGGTCCCAAACCACCGGCCGCTCTGCGGGAGAAAGACGCGGCTGTCTGTTCCCATACAGACTCGCAGCCTCGGAAACCCTATGTGCGCCAGCATCGGCTCCCCGGCAGTGGGCTTGCTATCATGGGAGCACTTTTGATGTTTGTCCTGTTAAAAGCTGTGGCATCCGCACTCCTTTCTGTTTTGAGTGAGAGCTTCCAAATACTGAAAGTTCTATTTCTAGCCAAAAGAGAAGAAGAAGCGCCAAGAGCCTATGAACTCAGGAGTGGGTAACGATAGTGGGGCCCTCACTCCGTACCCTTGTGAGGCGGGCACAGGACCAGGCAGGGTTCCACCCTTTGGGGAACCTACCACCTCCCCCCCATTGGACTGCTGGATGGACACAGGCTACCGTACAGATGAGTCTTGGACACGTGCCTTGTGAGAGACCTGGATGTGAGGGATCACATCCTACGTGAAGATCTAAAAACCCCAAGCCAAACTCACTGCCTTCGAGTCGATTCTAACTCACAGCGACCCCAGTGGATAAGGCAGAACTGTCCCTGTGAGTTTCTGAGACAGTCACTCTGTGCTGGGGTGGAAAGCCTCATCGGGCTTCAGTGGAGCAGTTGGTGGTCCTGAACTGCTGATCTTGTGGTCAGCAGCCCAAAGTGTAACCACTATGCCACCAGGGCTCCTTACAGGAAAGACACCCACCCCCACCCACCCCCGCCGCAAAGGGCAAAACCAGAGAAGACTGGAAGTAAGATTAGTGGTTGCCAGGGTGCCGGGTATACGGAAGGGCTGGGGCTGACAGGCTAAGGGTGCTGAACAAGTTCTAAGCTGGACTGCGGCGGCGGCAGCTTGGAACAATGAATGAAGAGGTGTCGGAACGATTTCTCAATGCAGCTTTGCAGCAAAACAGGGCTGAACCCACTGGCCCTGCTCACAAGTCATGTGCAACCTTGTTTCCTTTTGGAAGTCCTGCAAAGGAGGCTTCCATCCACACCTGTCCACTGGAAGAGGTCAAGTTTGGGCAAAGGCCACATGGGAGGTGGGCAGTGAGCCAGACTCCTGCCCAGCAGGGCTTCACACCCAGGTTCTTGTCAATAAACCAGTGGTTCTCAACCTTCCTCATGCCGAGACCCCTTAATACAGTTCCTCATGTTGTGGTGACCGCCCCCACCATAAAATTATTTTTGTTGCTACTTCATCACTGTCGTTTTGCTACTGTGATGAATCGGGCGACCCCTGGGAAAGGGTCGTTCGGCCCCCAGGTTGAGAACTGTTGCAATAGGCCCAAAAGCCATGTGGCTAGGGGTGGGGAGGGCACAGGGTCCTGTGGGTCGGGGGCCAGCTTTCTACTGGTGGGTGGGCAGCTCCCTGGCTCACTCACCGTCCAGCTGGGTCTGGCTGTGGTGCTCCTGGCCAAAGGGCCCGTAGCCAGCCTCAGACCGCGCCCGCACCTGGACCAGGTAGTTGACTCCCCGCTTCAGCCCTTGAAGCTCCACCTTGTTTTCTGCCGTCTTCAGGAACCGCACGCTGCTGGGGCCCTCTGCGCCCTGTCCAGGAGGAGGGGCTAGCCGTCAGCCGGGGCTCCCAGGCTCCCCTGCCTACGCCCACCAGGCACTCCCACTGGGTGGCCCCCACCTCTGGCACTGCAGACCTGGTAAGGGACCGGCGAGGCTTGGAGGGTTAGCTAAGCCCCAGACCAGGTTTTACTATTGTGGTCACACAACTCAGTAGGGGAGGTGCTGCTGTCATGGTCATTAGACAGATGGGACAATGGAGGCTTGGCCCCAGGCCACACAGCTAGCTGGGACTCTCCCAGGCCCTGGGGCATGATCCACCCCCAGGGCCAGAGGCTGACCTCACCTTCTCATGGTACTTGACCTCGTAGTCCAGCACAGCCCCGCTGGGCGCTTGGGGGACAGTCCAGGTCAGGGTCAGGCTGCTGCTTGAAGACCACGTCACCTGGATGTCGGACACGGCAGGGGGCACTGCGAGAGAGGAGACAGGACATTGGGGCCCCTCCGCTCAGCAGGCTGGTCCCTTGTCTGTTCCTTCCTCGCTGAGTCCCCTTGTCCAGCGGAAAGTTTACATAGCGTCTCCGACTCTCGGGCCTGCCCCCTGGCCCATCCCCTGCTATTTCTCCGCCAGCTGGTCCGACCCTCTCTATGGCCTCTCCCGTGTGCCCGTGGGCTGCCCTGGCGCCCTCTCTCACCCTGGCGGTCGGTGGTGACATTGACAGGCTCGAAGGGCACCGGACCCGAGGCTAAGAAGGAAACCCCGTTCAGGGCGGAGACCTCCAAGGTATAGGTGACGGCAGGACGTAGCCCCCGAACGGCCACCCAGGGCTCCACCAAGTTCCGGGGTCCGGGGTCGAAGGTCAGGTCTCCGCAGGGGGTGCAGGGGGCCCCCGGGCGGCACTCTCGGCAGCGGAGCGAGTAGGTGAGGTCGTCTCTGCCGCCAGACTCCAGCGGGGCGCTCCATTCCAGGCGGAGGGTGGACCCGTTCAGTCGGGAAATCACGCTACGGGGCGCAGAGGGAGGGGCTGCGAGACAGCAGGGGGTCAGTGTGTTCTGCTCTGGGGGTGGCACCCCAGGGTCACAGGGGAGAAACCCCAGGGGTGGGGGCCCATCCCAGAGGTCCGCACCCTCTGCCCCGATGAACCAGGCTTGATCACTTACTGGTACAGGGTGCACCCCAGGGGTCCGTGGGAGCCCGGAAGTACCCGTTTCGGCACTGGCAGTAGTTGGAGCTAATGGTGTTGGTGTGGCTGTTGGCTGGGCATGGCTGGCAGGACCCCTCCCCTGCCTGGGGCTTAAAGGTGCCCTGGGCACAGGCTGAGAGAGAGAAAAAAGTGTCCGTCAAGACTCACACAACCCTAAGGAGCCCCATGAAGGTCCCAACAGGGAGAAGGGAAGGGGTGCCTGTGAAGCCCCCCGTCTGAGAGGGCACCCTCTCCCTTCAGGGCACAGGATGCCCTCCTAAAGACCCTGACTCCCCCTTGGCAGCCTGGTGATGCTTCTGTGCTCAGGATGAACTGAAATGCCCACCATAAAAGAGGCAGGGCATAAGTGGGCCCGATTATGAAGCGCTAATTGCTAAAACATGAATAGACATGTTTATGATACAGCAAACGTGTGCACTCCTATTATTACTAAGATATAGTGGCGGATCTAATAACCCTTGCCATGCCAGAGCGCCATGGAGGGAAAACGGCTATCCGGAGAACAGTTATCTGGAAGCAGCTGTCCTGGGCATGCGCTGGGAAAATGGGCAGGGGAGAAAATGTCCAGTCTGGTCCAATGACTGCTGGGTCTACAGTCCACATAGAAGCAACAGCCCAACGCCAGGTAAGGGAAGTCCAGTCCGCTACATTCTGACCGTAAACATTCTGCTCTACAGCTATATGGTCTTACCACCTTTATTATTGTTTTCTTCCATCAAAGTTCACCAGAACAAATAAACAAAAACCACATCAAAATAAAAAACATGGGCATTGAGTTGATTCCAGCTCACAGTGACCCTACATAGGGTCCAGAGACTGAATCTTTACTGGAGCGGATGGCTTCATCTGGCTGGTGGGTTTGAACCACCGACTTTTGTGTTTAGCATGTCACTTGCCTAGCTCCCGGTGCCAACGAGATGCCTTGCAAAGTTCACAGGTCTGGTGTTCCATTCCAGCCACAAAACCCAAGTTAGGAACTCCTGCTCTCAGGAAAAGGCCTTCTAAAAAGCTGGAAAGGGGGAACCCATCCCAACCAACTGATGTTTAACCCCCTCCCCCTTACACCTTATAATGTATCAAGGGTTCCCAAGGGTGGAGGCAGGGGAGGAAAAAAGAGCTGATACCAAGGGCTCAAGTAGAAAGAAAATGCTTTGAAAAGGATGATGGCAACATATGTACAAATGTGCTTGATACAATGGATGTCTGGATTGTTCTAAGAGCTGTAAGAACCCTCAACAAAATGATTTATAATAAAAAAAAGAAAAAAAACCTCGATTCATTCCTCCCCTCAAAAAATGCTTATGAAGAATTTAATATCCATAAACTAGAGGCAAACCCCAAACGATTAAGAATTGAGATCACGTTGCCACTGTTCTCTGAGGAGAGCCGCCTCTGTCCAGAAAGGAGTTAGAATTGGCATGAGAGAAGAGTCCACCGGATGTGACGGGGAACGCTCAGAACTATAGAGCAAGAGGCGCTCTGAAAACAAGGCCTCCAGGTAGATTAGGATCCAAGACAGTGAAACATATAAGATGGAAATTTAAAATGTGGGTCCTATCTGGAGTTGGGGACACCCCCTCCCTCTCCCAATCATGGACGGAGGCAAGCTTCCAAGGGGCGTTGTCATTCCTTACCTCGGCACCTGGTATTGCCCTCAGCTGCCTCAAACCCTACAGCACAGCTACAGCCTGTGACCAGCTGCTCTGCCCACTGGCCATCCTCCCGGCAGTAGAGGCTGGGGCTGGGGCCAGAGGCAGGCACAGCATCGGCCACGCAGCTCCCGGCCACAGGCACCACGAGCTCTCGAGGCACAGTCTCTGGGAAGCGAGTCAGGTTCACGGTCAGCTGAGCGCACTTCTTATAGAAGAGGTGCAGGGACAGCAGGGCCATGCAGGCACCCTGGTCCTGGAAGGCCAGGTAGAAGCCGGCCTTGGTGAGCGGGCCCAAGCGCAAGGTCTTGACATTCGCCTTCCCAGTGGCCTCAGCCCCAGGGCGTTTCCGGGTCAGGTGCTCAGCAGCCACTGTGTCCACCTGCCAGGTTGGGGAAAGAGACTCACTGTGATTGCCCTTCACTCTCCTGAAGGTCAGGAGGCCTCCCTTGTTCCCAGCTCACCCTCTCCTTCACCTCCTCCATTTCCTGTAGCAGAGCCTTCTCTCGTCTCCCCTAGCACAAGTGTTTCGCGGCGTGCCCCAACATTATCCACGAATACTGGCATGAGCTCCTCGGATGTATCCAGCCCCTGACCTGCACCCCCTTGGCTGTCTCTGCCCTCACTACGCAAACACTCATCCACACCTACCCTAGGCCCGCCTCCGAGCTCAGCGCCATGGAAACGGAAATGAAGGGAATGTGGATAAATTATATAAAGTATGTTGAGTGCTGGGACAGGCCTATGAATAGAGTGTGGAAGGCCCTGGGGCAGGGATTATCGGCAAAGGCGTCACAGAGACCGCTAGGTTGGAACTAAAAGACAAGTAGGAGCAGAGAGATGAAGGCTGAAAGGAGGCTCCAGCAGAGGTGTGGGGTGTTATGGGAAAAGTGGAGAGGGGCCCACACACCACGGGCAAAGAAGGTGCGGAAGGCTTGGGCCTCCCCCAGGTGCCAGATCAGGCAGCTGGGTGTCATTCTGCTGTCTGTCTGTCACCTCATTGCCTACACACCCTCTCCCTGCCATCCGGTCGATGCCGACTCATGGCAACCCTACACAGCATCATAGAACTGCCCCGGTGAGTTTCCAAAACGGTAACTGTTTACGGGATTAGAAAGCCCTGCCTTTTACCTGCTGCAGAATGGCTGGTGGTTTCGAACCCGGGGACCTTGCGGATCGCAGCCCAATGGCCAACCATTATGAGGAGCCAGGGCTCCTCGGTTACCTCTTAAGACCCCCTGAACCCTTCTCCAAACTTAAGCCACCTGCTTCGCAGCCCCCAGCTCTCCCTGCCAAGGGCCTTGGGAGCATCCCTTAGCCTGGAGACCCCCTGTCTCAAGTGGCCCAGCACCTTGATGTAGGGGTTCTCCATCCAGGCCGGGGTGAGGGCTGTGGCTGTGTCGGCGTTGCTCTCGTAGTAGAAGACGGTGAAAGTCTCCTTGCAGGTGCGCCCGGCCTGGGGCAGGGAGAGGCACTCCAGCATGGTGAAGCGCAGGGTGGCGTACACGTGGACGGCGCCCCGCCGAGGGACCCAGCCAGTGCGAAGCCAGTGGGCCGTGCCTGGGGACCGCTGCAGGTCACACACCTCGTAGGTCCGCACGCTGTGTTGCTCTTCGTCCAGGCCGCTCACCTCCTCCCACTGGGGAGACAGGTAGGTGTCAGCGAGGGGACGGCTGGGGTCACAGCTAGCTCTGCCGGGGTCTGAGATGGTGCGCAAGGGCAGTTTTTTAATAAAGTATTGGGGAGGGGGCTGCTGAGGAAGGGGCAGCAGTATTGAGGAGACTCCAGAGCAAGGGCTCCAGGTCTAAAACAGGGGTTCTGCACACTTGTCATTGTCACCCACCCTCCCACTCCAAACTCCAGGTCCTGGGCCCAGTCCTTACCTGCCCTTCCACCTGAGGGTAAGTCACCCACTTCAGGTCGGCGGTTTCCAATTTCGTGTTCAGTAGGGTTTCTAAGGCAGACAGAGACTAGGGAGCTCAGAATCGGGGGAAGAGAGGCAAAGGATCCTTCTACACAGGGTCAGGGGGCTCAGGCACGCCCCTCCACTTTTGCCTCTCTTTCTGGGTGTCAGCACCACCCGTAATGGCAGGCTGGAAGAAGGGGTAACTTTCCAGCTGCGACCTAGCCCTGACCCCCATGATGGCCAAAGGGTTACTGGCTTGGGGAATACCCCTCCAGGCCTACCGACTGCCTGCCTTCTCTGTCTCCCCCACTTCTACTCTTTGCCACGTCCCACTCCCTTTATGACAAACACCCAGATCCTAGTTCCCTCCTGGAAGGTGGTGTTCTGCCCCTGGAGCCCAGCCTTGTGGACACCCCAGCCCCCGGGAACCCCCCATGCCTCCACCCTCCGCCTGGACTCCCCCACCAAGGGAGCTGCCTTAGCCCAGCAGAGCAGGAGGGGAGGAAGTACTGGAGGCCAGGGTGCTTGGGTTCCCGCCCTGGTCCCCACTGAGGCCCCACATCTGCATTTGGTTAAGAGAAGAAAAAGGGGAGGAGATTTTAGGGGTGTTAGGGCAGGGGCTGAACACACCTGGCTCCACTCCGGCACTGGGGGGAAGGGAAGGGGACAGGCTCTGGTGAGAGGGGGGCACCAGGAGAAGCCCCACAACTCTTGGCAGTGAGGGCAGGTAGGAAAATCCCCTCAGTAGAGGCAAAGCGGGCACCTGGGTGGGGGGCAGGGGGCCCGCAGAAGGGCCGGCAGCACACCTGAGCCCAGAACTCCCCCATGGAGGCTGCAGGAAGAGGGAAGGGAGGGTGGGGAGGTAGGGAGCAGGAATGCAGGGGTGTCCATGGGGCCAATGGGAACCTAGCCAGCCTGAGGTGAGCTCCAGCCCTTGTGGGTGGTGGGAGACAGCCCGTCAGGGACAGGATGCCCGGGTTCTGGGAAGGGGGTGGACAGAGGCAGGCAGCCGTCTCCACCCTCCATTGTTGCAGCCTCGATAGTGTTTTCCGGTGTCCCATTTACACACAGTCAGTCTCAGGCCTGTTTCAGGGCTGTCAGCTTGGCCCTCACTCACTTTCTCTCACCCATCCCCTTCTCTGGGTCCCCTCAGGTCCCCTCTTCCTCCTCCCCTCCTCCCCGATCTCAGACAGTCCCCACTCCCCTTCCCCACGGGCTCAGAGCTGTTTCCTACTCTCCCTCTTTCCCTCAGCCCTGGAGCACGTGACCCTGGGTAAAAGACCTCGCAGCTCGCAGCCTAGGTCTCCCTGTTGGCAAAACAGGCCCATGAATCCCTCCTAGCCCCAGGGTTGTTGAAACAAGGAAAAGCAGCCTTCCTTGTAAAGTGCTTTTGCACAAACCTAGTGCTCCGGAGCACGCTCAGGTGGCCCAAACTAGATAGTAGGACTCCCTCCACCTCTTCCCCTTTCCCCTTCCCTCTGTCTCCCTCCTCCCTCTCCATTGCCCCCTTCTCCTTTCTGTGAACTAGGAACACACACCCCCACACACACACACACACATCCACATCCAGTCTTTGAGCCCCAGTCCAAAGCAGGGCTCAGTCTGCACAAGGGTTTTCTAACTGCCTTTGAGTGATCCTCCCTCAGCAATCCACCCCCCACCCCAGGCCGGCCCACTCCCCAGAGACCCCTTTGATTCCAGGCAGAGCAAGGAGGGAAGAGGCCCATTACAGAAAGGAGATTAGGGACCCCAGGAGGGCTTAC